ACTTTAGATGAAAGGTTGTAAGGAAGATCATTTATGTAGATAAGAAACAAAACAGGGCTCAGGATGGAACCTTGGGGAACCCCAGAAGTTACTGGAAATAAAGAAGAGTGTCGGTCTTCAAGGATGACTTTAATAAACCGGTTAGAAAGAAATGATTTGATAATCTCAAAAACTTTCCCAGAAACACCATATGAAGCAAGCTTATGGAGAAGACCAGCATGCCAAACTTTGTCGAAAGCTTTAGATATGTCGAGAGCAATAGCCCTAGCCTCACCGCCTCCATCTAATGCACGATAAAATCTTTCAGTTACAGCAGTTAGCAAGTCGGCCGTAGAGCGAGAGGATCGAAAACCGTATTGATTGTCTGACAGTAGTTTATTTGACTCAAGATGAGATGTGAGGAATTTGTTGATCAAAGACTCAAAGACCTTGCTAATAACAGAAAGAAGGCTGATCGGATGATAATTGCAGGGGTCAGAATTTTCTCCAGAGTTTTTGAATATTGGAACCACAGATGCCATTTTCCAACAAGCAGGAAAACAAGACTCAGTCAAACACCTGTTAAATAGTTTAGAGAGAATTGAAGAAAGTTCTGGAGAACAATTCTGCAAGACTGTGACAGGAATGTTGTCTGGACCACAAGCTGTAGACGAGTTTAATTGAGATATGACTTTAGCAACAGAAGTCGGAGTGATTTGAATGTCTAACAATGGGTCAACCTGTTTGACTGGAATGGAAGGAAGAGAATGTCCATAAGATTCAAGAGTGGAATTAGAAAAAAAGTTCTTTGCAAATAGTTCTGCCTTATCCTTGGGAGAGGTAATAAGATCAGTCCCATGAATGAGAGATGGAATGTTAGATCTACCCTTGTTAATAATGCTGTTGAAGATTTTCCAAAAGTCTTTAGGGCCTAACTTCTGCGATAAGATGCGAGATTTAGTGAACTGAGAATAATGGAGTTTAGCATCAGAAAGCACCTTTTTACATCGATTTCTTGCAATAATAAATAGCCGTTTGTTTTCAAGAGAGTTGTTCTTTTGAAAAAGATGAAAAAAATGATTACAATTGGATATAGCAGCCGCACAAGAAGGAGAAAACCATGGAGTAGAATGAGGCTTGACTTGAAACTGACGCAAAAGAATAAAAGCTTCCATTCTAGCCTGAATCCAGGAGGTTACGTAGGAGGCGCATTTGTCAGCTGAGAGAGAAAAAACATCAGCCCAAGGACCATCACGAAGAAAATCACGAAAGGAATCCCAGTCAGCTTTAGGGTAGTAGTAGGTGGTGCGATGATAAGGTGAACCCAAAAAAGAAGTATGAGAAGAAAGATTTATAGAGATCATTGCATGGTCAGAATCACCTAAGGGAGAAAAGGGAGAAACTGAACATAAGCTAGGGTCAGAGACAAGACATAAGTCAAGGAGTGAAGGTAAATGATTAGGGTTGTCAGGAAAACGAGTCACAAAGTTAACTATCTAAGTAAGAGATTGGGAAATGCAGAAGTTAAAGGCTTTAGTGCCAGCAGGATCAGTGGTGTTAGAGCCAAGCCATTCAGTGTGATGGGCATTAAAATCACCAACAACAACAATATTGGCAGAGTGGTAAAGAGAGAGGGCATGGTCAATTTGAATAGAGATAACATCTAAGAGAGTGCAATCATGGGAAGAAGGAGAACGATAAAGAACAAAGAGAAAGGTGATAGAGTGAAGAGGTGCTAGGCAAAAGCACATAAAAGAATGGTCAAAGGATTTGAACCTGATTTCACGACAAATAGGGGAATTAATGCGTATGTATACCCCTAAACCTAGCATGTGACTATTTGAGTCTTTACGAATCAAAGGATAGTACCCATCAAGATTGACATCTGAAGAAGGAATTGCAGAATTTAAATTTGTTTCACTAAGTGCAAGCAAGTCTGGTGAATTTTGCAGGAGGTAAGACTCAACTGATGGAAAGTTGCTTCGTAGACCGCGAATATTTGTAAAAGATATATTAAAATATTTAGGTGGTGGGGATTGGTTTATTAGGTTTTAAATTTTTGGTTACTTTGGTCATGATTGGGTTTAATGAGAACTTGACTCATTCATAGATAGAGCACAGCCTCCTAATCAATGAGCTGTGCAGTTGTCTCAGTCCTGTTAATTAACCCTAAGCCGTGGCATAGGGCTCCTTATGTGGCCTTGACAATGCACACCAAATGCATTAACAGGGACACCATCCATGTGCAACATGGCACTGTTAATACTCTGATATTTTTCAGCTGTTGATGGAATCAGCCTCTCTCTGAGAGCTACCACTAAGTTCGGGAAACCTTACTACCAGCCGGCCTCAGAACCATTTAACTGAGTTTTAGAGCTGTAAACTCATATGGAGATAACAGGAAGAGTTGCATAGCCATTATCAAGACGGCATAAGCAAAATTCTATGAGTAGAGTCAAGGAGATCCAGCATTCATCATCCTAGGCAGGAAACAATGTAACACAGGTTACATCTACGCCAGCCTAATAAATGAAGAAGGGGTTCGAGGCTGGTTAGCAGAATTTTTCTGCTTAGCCCTAAAGTCTTTGCCTAGGAGGCCTTCAACAAGACAGTAGCTGGATGCAGTTAACATCTGCCCAAGATGAGTATTTTTATCAAGACACCATCTCTAGCTGTTACTCAACCAAGAGCCCCAAGGCAGGGGATGTTTAGCTGGATGCAGTTAACATCTGCCCAAGATGAGTGTTTTATCAAGACACCATCTCTAGCCTTTATTCAACCAAGAGCCCCAAGGCAGGGGAATTTTTAGTCGGAGTTTATTTCTCCTAGCCTTTGCCTAAGAAGAGCACACTCTGCAAGGCAGCAGGGCTTGTGACAGGTGGTACTGGGTTACGTGATACCAGTAGCAAGATTGATCTCGATTATCCTGACCTGACCTGGAGTAGTTAAAAGGAGTTACTTCCCGCAACAGTACTTTGAGAAAACCAGGCATGATATTTTGGAAGTGCATTAGGAAAAACACTGCATCTAACAAAATACAGGAGTCTAAGGTGAGTGTAGGTTTTGTAGTTAGAGTAAGTAGTTAGTTACTGAGCTCACGCTGCATTAGAGTATAAACAGAACACAAACAAACATAAATTACAAATAATAAATTACATATAAAATAATATAACATAATAATATAATATAATAATATAACATAATAATATAAAATAACATAAATTACAAATAAATGAACAAAAAAAAGTTTTCTATAAAAAAAAAAATTATCTATCAATCAAATCAGACAGGTTATATGATTGCAATAATTACCATCATAAACAGGTTTAAATCTAAAAACATTAGACAGATTTATACAAATTAATTTCAAAAGTACCCTAGATTTAAGAGTTTCAAGAGTACCTCACCATATGGTTAAAAATATAAAAGAATATAAGGCCAGGAGTGATAAACCTTAAAAAACTGTGTCTAAACATTCATAAATAAGAAACAGCAGCATTTAGCTCTTCATTAAAATATTATAGGGTAGGATAAGGATATTATAAGATTATGCTAACTCATTATATATTCCTACAGATCCAGATTCAAAAAAAAGTTTATACATATACATATATATATGAATATGTATATGTATATATATATATATATATATATATATATATATATATATATATATGTATGTATATATATATATATATACATATATATATATATATATATATATATATATATATATATATATATATATATATATATATATATATATATATATATATATATATATATATATATATATATATATATATATATATATATATATATATATATATATATATATTATATATATATATATATATATATATATATATATATATATATATATATATATATATATATATATATATATATATATATATATATATATATATATATATATATATATATATATATATATATATATATATATATATATATATATATATATATATATATAGATCCCAAAAAGGTCAGATGAAAGTTTAATTATATTGTGTTGACATAACAAAAAAAAATTAAAAAACAAGATCAGAAGTTTTAATAAAATTAATTAAAAGATTGCTTGTCCTACCCAAAACCCTCAGTCAATTTCTCTCGCATCCTTGCATGTTTTACCTATTTGCTAGTCAATGTGGCAGCACTCCTTGCATATTTTACTTATTTCTCAGTTGATGTAGCAACACTCCTCGCATGTTTTACCTAATTCTCAACTTGTTTCTCTGTACAGCGGCCTTGTTCGTCAAGGTTCGTGTTTTGGAGTTATAGAGTTGAGAGAGGGTTGTAAGCACAAAAGTAACCTCCTTGACTATAGTGGCCTTCTTGGCCTTGGGGAGGTGAATAGTTCAATAAAAAATTTGTCAATCAATTTAGCAACACTCCTTGCATGCTTTACCTATTTGTCAGTCGATGTAGCAGCACTTCTTGCATGTTCTACTTATTTTTCAGTCAATCAACACCAAAAAAATAAATAATAATAAAACAAAATATTTTTAAAAATAAAAACAAAAAAAACAAAAATATAAAACTTGAAAAAAAATAAAAAGAAACAAATTCTGCATTAATAAAATAATTCTAAGCAATTAAATTTTTGTTTTTGCAGTAATTTAAAAAATGATTATTGTGCAATTAATTTAATGGTTTTAGATAACACAGAAGTGTTGGACAAAAGTCAAAAAGTTTGTGTGTGTCCGCACCACATCCCTGGTAGTGCCATGCTCAACTTGTTTGCATGAAAAATAAGGCATACTGCTGACAAGCAGTTAGCCGATATATATATACACACACATATATATATATATATATATATATATATATATATATATATATATATATATATATATATATATATATATATATATATATATATATATATATATATATATATATATATATATATATATATAATATTAATTAATAAAAATATCTATATTAATTATATTTTAATTTGTCATACTATTTAAAAAGTTCCATACCTTTTGATTTAGTTATTTTGAAGAAAATATAACACGCTTTCCTATATTGGTACTTGGATTAAAAGAGGTTTTGATTAATGTGTAAATTATTTATTTTTATTTATGTTTTGCAAAAACCACAATTCTAATTGTTTGTATAATGAAGTAGTCAATATAGTTTTATTGTTAATTTTAATTAATATCAAATTAATTTTTTTGAGATTTATTTTTAATTTTTAATAGTTAAGTTTGTTAAGACCAATAATAGTCAGGTTTGCATAGGCCAATAGTAATGTTGGGTAAATAATACTGGCACCAAGACACTTTTTATACATTAGGTTTTTTAAAAATAATTGTTTTGATTCTCATTTCAATAAAACCTACAGTTACTAACCATTTTAAAAGATAACTCAGTGAATCTTAACAATAACTGGAAAAAATTGAAACTTAAGTTTGTTTATGAACAAATGAATTAATACGAACAGCCATAATTTTATAAATAAAATTGATATGTACCTAAAAGGATACCTAAACATTTCTTTATAAGCATCAATTTATATTTTGTATATTTTATACATTAATATTAATTTACATAGATTTCAGAATTGTATTTATTATAGGATTTTTTAAATCAAGACTCCATATTTGGCATTCAAGGTTCCATATTTGGCATTCAAGATTCCATATTTGCTGCTAATAAACTAATGATGCATTTTGTTTTAGGGTCAAACATTGCAAGATCAAAGTTATAAAACTACTTGTCATATTGGATTAACAGATGATGCAGAAGTATTTTTTGTAGACATGGTAATTTTTTCTTTTTTTAAATGTCATATGTTTGCATGTTACAAGTTTTTTTATAGTTTTTGCTTACATTTTGCAAATTTCGTGAATTATATTGAAATTAATATGTGCATTAAAATTTTACCATGGTAATTGTTTGATAATCATGTAAATATAGTTATAATATATTTGAGTATATCTGTAAGGCAGGTAAGGCTCATTTGCTGTGGTGGAGGCAACTTATTTGCGGGATATTTATATATATGTGTGTGTGAGCGTGTTTGTGTATGTTATTTATATTACATGTATCAATGCTGTATGATATGTATATATATATGTGTATGTCAGTGTGTGTGTAATATATATTACCTGTAACATTGCTTTGAAAATTTAGAACTGTTTTCAAGAAAGCCAACTACTTACAACAAGCAATAAATGGAATGCTCTCAGTAGCTATTTTGAAAAAGTAATAAATTTTGTTTAACTATTTTTTTAAGTAAGATTTTAAAATGTTTAAAATAATAAATAAATAATTTTTCATTGTTAAACTTAAAAACTTCTAGGGTTGCCTATTTATAACATATGTCAGTACTTTGCAAGGCAAGTAAAAACTCTGAATGAATACAGCCCAGTTCGTATATTTTTTGGGTTTTAATCATCATAAATTAACACAGGGTGTCTGCCAGATCAGGAAATGAGGGAAAACAGGGAAAAGTCAGAGAATTCAAATGTCTATAAAAAAATCAGGGAAATTGGGTTTGACTTTGAAAAATTAGGGAGAAATCAGGAAAATAAATCTTCTTCAAACTTAAGTGACTTATGTCAGTTGAATCCCATAATCCTAATTAAAAATTTATTTGGGAAATAGAATTTTAAATTACAATTTATATTTTTATATAAATGTTAATACAAAGCACATTCAAAGTATTAAGGTTTTTTTGATACTTTCTATTTGTATTATCTTGATACGTATTCACTATTTCCTTAATTTGAATTTGCTTTGTATTAATGTTTATATATTTGAAATGAAAAATCTTTTTTTTTTTGAAAAAAACTTTTTTTTCTGAAGAATTAAGTTTGAGTAACTTTAACTTAAATTAGCGAAAACACATGAAGATATCAGATATGTTATAAGATATTATTATAAAAAAAGTACTATCATAAATATACTATTAGAAGATACTATATTAAGATAAGATAATCTATTGAACAATAAATAAAAAAGAATAAGAGGAAAATCTGGGAAGTATTACACTGTTAAAAAAACATCGCATTTTTTATGGAAATTTCCAGCAGCAGATTTTCCAGAAAGTTTCCATTATTTTACAGAAAAATAAAGTGTTGAAGAAACTTTCCATATAAATTACGGAAAATATCTATCATCATAATAACAGATATTTCCGTATTTTAACGGATATTTCCGTCAACAAGTGACTGATTTTTCTGTAAAATAACGGAAAATTTCTGGAAAATCTGCTGCCGGAAATTTCCTTAGAAAGCACAAAATTTACTTAACAAAAAAACTCCTATTCTAAAAAAGTATTCCTTAAACAATAAAAAAAAAATTTACAAGAAAAAATTAATGACATAAATATATTAATCAATTAATAATTAAATAAATTGTTGCACTAAATATTGCATAAAAAAACTTAAATAAAAATTTATATATATATATAATATATATAAATATTATATATATGCTTTTAGAGCTAATAACTGTTACTTTCTTTCTTTTTGCGTTTTTTCTTGCATTCTCTTGATTATAGCCAACCATATACCTAACAACACAAATATAAATGTTTTAATACAAATGAATAAAAATACAAATAAAAATATAAATACAGCAAAATTATGAATAAAAATGAAAATATGAATACAGCAAAATTGTAAACCTTTGTCCGTAGTTTAAGACATTCAATTCTTAAAACAAGAAACATATTGCTTGTTTTAAGAAATAAATTTTCCATCCAGCAATTTATTTCTTAAAACAAGAAATATATTTCTTAAACTATAAACACTAGATTAACAATATTTCTGTATATTACTAATAAGTAAAGTATATTACTAATAAGTAAATATTCTTTACTATTACACTAGATTAAGAATATTGCTGTAAATCTTAAAACAAAATAAAAATTCTTATACTGTAATTATTTCTTAGAACAAGAAATATTTTTCTTGTTTTAAGAAACAAATTGGGGGATAGAAAATTTATTTCTTAGAACAGGAAATATATTTCTTGTTTTAAAAAACAAATTGGGGGGTAGAAAATTTATTTCTTAGAACAAGAAATATATTTCTTGTTTTAAGAAACAAATTGGGGGATAGAAAATTTATTTCTTAGAACAAGAAATATATTTTTTGTTTTAAGAACTAAATGTCTTAAACTACGGACTAAGATTTAGGATTTTGCTTTGAAGAAATTATACTTGTAATATTTTTCATAAATTAAAGATTTATTATTCAAGATTTATTAGTTAAATCTTATGAATTACTTGGCATTAATTAGCAACTGTTTTAAAATATCTTTTTTCTACTTAATTTTTTTTTTTTTTTCGCATTACTTTGCCAGAACTTCAATGACGTAAAAACATTTTTTTCTAAAAAGAAAATATATATTTTTATCTCTTTTTCTTTACGTATGAATGTATCTACATATAGAGTATGCAGTGACTCCTACATCAGTACAACTTGCTCATTTCCAATTAACTCTATATGATTCCATAGGTGATCATATATCCTGCAATTGAAGTGCCCACAGATGGTTTCAGAAAATAGAGAGTGTGATCCCACATATATTGCTATCAGATCTAGAAAATATTGTTTTATTTTACGTTGCAAATTTAAAATTATTTTAAGATATTGTTGAAAACATTTCATATTTTTAACTTTTGCTTAATTATATGTTTAACTATAAATACTAATATATAAATAATTGTGCAATTTAATTAAATTTTTCTGATAAATCATCTAAAACACTACAATATTAAATAAGAAAGAAAATTAAGATGCAATTTTGAGATAAAAGGTTAGACATTCCCAAACTTTATTTATATAAAAAAAACATTGTTTATACACACACATATAATATATGTGTGTATAAACTTTTTTAATATAAATACATATGTATATATACTTATATTATATGTGTATATATATATATATATATATATATATATATATATATATATATATATATATATATATGTATATATATATATATATATATATATATATATATATATATATATATATATATATATATATATATATATATATATATTTATATACAAAAGGTTAGCAATCTATTTTCCATTCGCGTTATTTAAAAAAAGAAGTTGAAAAAGAAAGAAAGATGAAAATAAATTTATCCTTCCTTAACTGAAACTCTTATATGAGTTATCAATTCCCTTGCAAGTTCTTCCAAAATCAGTCTATGTATCGCCTCGCCCCTAAATCAGTTTGACATCATAGCGCTAAAGTATGCATTACTATGTATATATGTATATACTTATATACTTTCCTAAAAATAAGCCATATTTACCAAAAACCACACAGTATTATCTGAAAAAACATAATTTTTTGAGAAAAAACAATGATTTTAGTAATAAAAAAAAAACGTCTAATTGTGGTCAGCGCTGTCAAAAACAGCCTAGAATAACCCCTGATATATATATATATATATATATATATATATATATATATATATATATATATATATATATATATATATATATATATATATATATATATATATATATACATATATATATATATATATATATATATATATATATATATATATATATATATATATATATATATATATATATATATATATATATATATATATATATATATATATATATATATATATATGCAGAAAATACAAAATCGTGCTAAGATCTTTGGATGATGTTTACATATGATAAGTTCTACAAAAATAAATGTACTATAAAACCACCATTTAAAGTAATGAACCTAAAAATCACTTTAGTAACTAAATAAATACTTCATAAGCATTTACTCTATAAGAGATATGCATACTAAAATACCAAGAACATTTAAGCCTTACACCTACAACTTAAATTTATTATATTATATATTAAATGACTAAATATTTTACTAACTAAAAATACATCAAATTTTCATTTCTGGAAGTTATTCTGATACAGCGAAGCACTTGAATTTTGAGAAAAATATGAAATAGAAATCCAGAATGATTTAATAACAATGGACAAAGTAAACAATACCTTTAAAGCAATAACTTAAGCCCTTCACTTTTTATTTATTTGTAAGAAAATACCATTTTTATTTTTAATCCATACTATAGAGCATCACTTGATTCTATAGTATCAACAATAACTTTCTACATATAGTGTTTTTGCAATGTTGAGCTGCTAGAAATAAGTAATTATGTAAATTTGTATGACTTGGTATTACATAAAAACTGATTTAGTATTACATACAATTTTTAAAATCTTTTTATGAACTGATCAAAATTTCTCTAAAAACAATCAGAAACATTAAAGAAAAATGATAGCAGATGTATTTATTTTATATACAATTTTACTATCTTGCATGACCATCCTGCACGAATATTTTAATCAAATAAGTTTAGTAATGTATTCTAATCACACTTGCAATTTCTGGGGTAATCTTTATAAATTTGTTTTTAAATTTATTTTTTTTAATGTTTACTTGTAGATAACCTAAATATTTTATTTATTAAATTATTCTAATTAAATAATAATAAAAATGTAAATTGTTATAAAAAGTTTTTTAAACAATCAAAAATTCATTGTTCTTATCATAAAGAAGCACTAGTGCTTAAATACTGCAATTCTAAAATTTACTATTTTTAAGCTACATGTTTTAACATGTGAATTTTTTTCCTGGCTTTGAAGTGATCAATTTTATATATAACATGTTATGTGAGTGCACTTAAATAAACTTAAAATCACTCAAAATTAAAATTAGAATGCACAAGTCTTGTGTCAAGAATCCTACTAAACATAATCTCGTTCTTGTTCATAATCTTTAATCCAGATACCAAATAAAGTTTATGTAGTTTTAAAATTAAAAAGAACAGAACAGTTTATAGTAAAATATCTGGTGAACTTTCTTCGCCTTGCAGGTGAAATTTCAGAACTTCTTTTTGGAAATAAATGTGTACATAAAAATAACTTAAAAAAAATCTTCACTAATGGCAGTTCAACATGTTATATCTATTTTCTGTTATAAATACAACGGGAATTTCCGTATTTGAAAATTTAGCTACAAAGACGGAAAATTTCTGTACATAAAGAATGGATACATCCATAACATGGACATACGGATACTTTCCGTTGAAATAACGGAATAAATTTCTATTTTTGTAACGGAAATTTTTAACAGTGTAGGGAGATATAACATCTATGATAATTAAAAACATTTAACAGTTTATTTTTAAACAAATTATTCAGGGGTGGATCCTAACCGTCTCAATAAGGAAGGATGATTTTTACGTGTTTTTTTTTTTTTTTTTTTTTGATTCTGTGGATCCAGGTTAGCTATTAAGGAAAGGTAGAGGGGAAATTGTTAGGTTTTTTTAGATTCAATAATGCCGGGCTATCTGGTTAATTGGTGTGGGTGGGGTAGCAATTTTTAGGTTTAATGATTTGTGAGCCCGCAAATCATAAAACCTTTTTAGTTAACTTTTCTTATAATATTAGTTTTACATTGTCTTAAGACAAATTGTATATTTTAAATCGGATAATTAAAATTTATACCACACGATTTTATTAAAATTTGATATTACTTTTAAATGGCCGATAGTTTACTTTCTAATTTACTTCCATTTTCAAACAACATTTTATGTTAAGTATATAAGTTAACCAAAATAAATTCTTTTTGAAATATCAAAAGAGAGGAGGGGAGCGATTGTCCCCCCTTATGGACCCGACCTTGGTATCAATACTATTGTTTGAACTTGAATTACAAAATTTTAATAAAAATTTAAAATAAAATCAGAGATAATTTTTTGATGCAAAAAGTCACTAACTGTTAACAAGAAGTAGTTTTTATTATTTTGTTAAAGTTTTAAAAATAGTTATCATTTTAGTATCCTTGTTTCTATGCTTGTATGAGTTGTTTCTCACAATATATCTTCTTGACAAACCTTATTCTTTAACTGAAAGTTAGGTGATACCCTAACATTTTTACAGTCTACCTGCTAAACTACCTTAATGTTCCCTGACACATCCTTTTAAATACACACACTGTTCTTAATTTGTGATCATTGTTCTTAATCTTTGTGATCATTGCTTTTTTTCTTATCTTTTAGAGTCATGCATTCATTTGATAATCATTCTTAGGTGTTTCAAGACGCTGGACATTATCAACCTTAATTTCTCATGTTTTACTGACATAATTTATAGTATTCTATTGCATTTGATGTATAGTTTTCCTTTAATCCTTAATGAAACATCTCTTGCTGTTAGAAGCATTTTACTATTGTTCTCAGTATTTTCCACCTGCTAATTCTTGACTTTACAATTCAGGTAATTTGTTTTTATTTATGTTTATCTCAAGTCCTTAGCCTCTTCTCCAACTTTTAACTCTAAAATGTTTTAATATATTTTCTTTTGTCTCTGGATTCAAGCATACATTATCTGGATAGAATAGCTCACATGGTAAACAAGCACTAAAAAAACTAAACAAACACTCTTTAGAAAGAGCCTTCAAATCAGAATTAAAAAGCAAAGGACGGAGCAGTGAATTTGATGTACACCAATCTTTACACCAACTCTCTCCATTTTTCTATTTAAATTTTATTTTGTTAATTTTTTTATTGCTGTTGCAACTTTTTTCTGCAAAGCTGAGCAAAGGAAATATTTTTTATAACCATACAATATATATATAGATATAAAATAACATGTCGTGTGATACCATCAAACAAGGATGCTAATTTTTTGGATTTTGCTGAAAGTAAATTAACAATAATTAAAACTGCTGATTAGGAGGAGGATCATGAACTTGCAGTTCTCAGGCAATCCATTTAGTAAAAAAAAACAAAAACAAAGGATATTTATTGATCCACCTACTTATCCCGCCGAACACACAATACTAATTATGTTATGAACTAAATCAAAATGGCCAAATGAAAAATCTTGTAAAATATTTCAAAAAATGGTTTTGTAATTGATTTTCTGCATATAGGTAATAGAGAACAGATTCTATCCAAGTGGAAGAAACTTTACTCAGGTAAATAGATTTGGAAGCAATTTTTTTTTTCGTGTTAAACGTTTTTTTATTTTTTAATTGTATTTTATTACAGGAAAATGAATATTGGCGTGGCAGAAAAAAAGTATTCTGATGGTTAAAAACTTTTTCATAAGACAAGTATTATCAAATGAGCAAATTGACAAGTTTGTTTCAAAATTCATTAATTGAAGGTTGTTTTTTTTTACTATCAAAATTGAAAGGAAGCGTATACAAACTATTAAAGACTAAAAGGAAGTGACAAACTATTATTTTTGAACAGTTTATATATATATATATATATATATATATATATATATATATATATATATATATATATATATATATATATATATATATATATATATATATATATATATATATATATATATATATAAATATATATATATATATATATATATATATATATATATATATATATATATATATATATATATATATATATATATATATATATATATAAGAAATATAAGTCAAATTAAAGAAAAAATTAACTTTGACTCAATATTCTTTTATTCACAGATTACAAAAACCTCTAATTAAATATTAAGTATTAATAATTTGGCATTAGGCAATAAAAATAAGCAATTGCTTTTTCTCAGTAATTGGTCAGCTTTACGTGAATAAAAACTGAAGTAAAATTCCTCAAGTTTTTATTCACGTAAAGCTGACCAATTATTGAGTAAAAGTAATTGCTCATTTTTATTTACCTGACCTATTATGTCTACCAAATAAATAGTTTTTTCCGTAACAACGCCATAGCAACCGATAAATAAATAAAAAACATTTGTAAAAAGTTTGCGAAACGATTACTTTATGAATAAATATGCAAAAGAGCTGATATTTAGACATTTTGTTTTTAATAGTGGTAAAGTTCATTTGAGAAAAGGTTTTTGTTCAACGCATTTTAGTTCTTGAAATTTTATCATATTAATAAAGATTAATTTTTTAGAGCTTAGTTTTTTATGCACCATTTCTAAAATATTATTTTATTCTCAGTTATTTTTATTTTTTAAATTAATTTTGTAATATGTTCAAAATATATTTCAAATTTCATGATAAGATGACTGGTACATTTTAAGTAATTAATTTACAAAAATTTAGTTATTTTTTTACATTGGGTTATTGAGGTAAAGAATTTCAAATAAGAAAAAATATATATTTTTTAATTATAACGATGTATTAATGCTTTAAAAATGAAGCTTTTACTATTACTATAATTTCAATGAAGTTTTTTTAAATTTCTTTGGAGTACCACCCCAAGAAATATTCATAAATAGAGCTTTTATTATTTAAATATGCGTTAATTAATCAACAAATTGTCAGCTCGGAATACAAGTGTCGTATCAAAAGTTTAATAAAGTTAGTTATAAATATGTAATTATCTAATTTATGTAAGTTTAAAGCAATCTAAATGTAAAAAATTATTTTTATGTAACGTTGCAATATAACGTTATACAAAAAGAATTTTTCTTTCTACCTGTACTACTTTTAAAATAAAATAAAAGTTTCTAATAGTGTCAAACCAGGTGTAACCTATTGTTCTATGCCCAAAATAGCAGTAATTATAAATTTTTTTCTATCAACCAATCAAATTGAGTATATATTCACATGAGGGTTTATTTCCTCCAATTTAATTTTGAAATGGCGGAAGAAAGTAATTTATTTTTTGAAGTAATAAACAAAAATATAGGTATTTGCTATTTATTCTTTATTATTTGTATTGCTAATCAACTTTTCTTAGTTAGTAAACAATGCACAGTCCGCACATTTTTTTATTAGGGTATTTATCATCTTACACACGGATACTGTTGTATAAGTGTAATGATAATAAAGACTCATTATAATATAATGACTATATATATATATATATATATATATATATATATATATATATATATATATATATATATATATATATATATATATATATATATATATATATATATATATATATATATACATATATATATATATATACATATATATATATATATATATATATATATATATATATATATATATATATATATATATATATATATATATATATATATATATATATATATATATATATATATACTCATTATAATATAATGACTATATATATATATATATATATATATATATATATATATATATATATATATATATATATATATATATATATATACACACACACAGTATCCGTGTGTAAGATGATAAATATTATTATAATATATATTATATATAATACATATAACTTATACGTAACTGGCAGGGTTCTAAATGTACAATTAATCGTCTCGTCTATTCAATATAGAATAAATTATTTTCTTGTTACTTATTTGCATTTTATAATTTTTTTTGTGTTTAATTTATTTTTTATTTTATTTTTCCAAATAATCTTATTTTAACAAAATGGGGAAAACATTTTGTTGAAAATGGGGAAAACATTTTGTTAACAAAATGGGGAAAACATTTTGTTGAAGCAGGATTAAGTTTTTGAACTGATTGAACAGAGTATAGAAAACCATATCAACTTGTTACCACGAGTTGAGTCACATTATTATCGAAGAATTTTCTGCAAATAATACTTTGATGGCTGGTTAAATTTGAAAAAGCTTTATATGAGTTTTTTTTAACGTATTGTAAGGATAGTATGTACTGCTATGTTTTTAATACCAAATTCAATATTAAATTTGAAACATCTTTTACAAAACAAAACTCAGTTGTTATAGTTTAGCTGAACAAAAAAACATATTTTATGTTATAGCATGAAAGTACGTCTGGTTGTTCTGGTAACGACATTGCCAGTGCTGTGGTATGTATGCTAAATAAAATTTACATTTGATTGATTCTAATATTCTACAGAATAATGATAAGAAACTGTCATATGGCCGCAGCATTGCATGAGTTTCTTATTGATCGTCCAAATATTGAAATCATTGAGTAAAAGTATTGTGAGCCTGGGCATAGCTCTATTCCGGAATGTGATAGTATACATAGTCAGATCGAGAAATATTCAGCTCTCCTGAGTTAGTGAAAGCAATGTTGAATGTTAACTAACGTAAACCATTTTTTTTCTACCAAATGCAAAAAGCGACGTTTAAATTTTTTTCCTAATTGCCAATCTTTTGAATTACAAGAAGGTTCCATATTTTAATGTTAAAAGACTTGTATATAGCTCTAATGCACCTGGCCACTTGTATTTCAAGACTCGTTTTACAGCTATTTATAAAGGGCACGACTGTTTATGCCAAAAAAAAAAAAGCGTCAGAAAGTAATCTTGAAGAACCATCGATTCCATTTGCGTCTTGTTTTTGATATTATGTTGAAATTTCTAGTGAGAAAGTAAAAGACATTGCTTCTTTCATTGTACCCATACATGCAAGTTGTAAATTTTTATTTCTATAAAACCTTATTTCAGTAGTATTTGATCAGCTCTGCATCTGTAAATAAATGTAATTTTAATTATCTAATTTATATACTTAATTAAGTATATAAATAAGATAATTAAAATTATTTAATTATCTAATTTATATACTTAATTAAGTATATAAATTAGATAATTAATATTATTTAATTATCTAATTTATATTATTAATTAAGTATATAAATTAGATAATTAACATTATTTAATTATCCAATTTATATACTTAATTAAGTATATAAATTACATAATTAAAATTATTTAATTATCTAATTTATATACTTAATTAAGTATATAAATTAGATAATAAAAATTATTTAATTATCTAATTTATATACTTAATTAAGTATATAAATAAGATAATTAAAATTATTTAATTATCTAATTTATATACTTAATTAAAATAATTTATATATAATATAAATTAGATAATTAAAATTATTTAATTATCTAATTTATATACTTAATTAAGCATATAAATTAGATAATTAAAATTATTTAATTATCTAATTTATATACTTAAATTATATAATTAAAACCTCACAAAACTGAATGGTACATAACATAACTTAAGTTATGTTATGTACCATTCAGTTTTGTGAGGTTCATCTTAACTTAAAAAGAAATCGTTCAATGACTTTGAACAAAGTTTTCATGTTATTAGTGTTATAAATTTGCTTGTCTACTTTCAATTAATCTTTTTCGATAAAAGTGATTTTCCTATAAATGATAAAGCTTTGGTAAAATTCAATTTGTTTTAATTGAAACTGTCCATCCTTCCGATGGAGCTGTCCATCCTTCCTTCCATCCATCCTTCCGATGGAATTCTCATTAAAATCTCAATGACAAAAAAGTTTCTTAAAACTATTTCTATACAAGTTTGCAAATTAAGTTTTTTAGGTTTCTATATTCGCTCGTAAATCCCTAATTTAAAAGTAATTTCTTGCATTACATTAACTTATCGCAAAACGTTTAAATTTGATATATTAAATTTAGGACCTTAATAGCAAATTTGAAGAATTTTTTTTTTTTAATCAAAACAAATATTTTTAGTATATAGCCAAGTATTGAAAAACGTTTTAATAACAAATGTAATGTATTGTCACTTCTTCTGCATTGCAGTGGAAAACTTTAACTTGATTTATCTCAGTTTAAGCAAATGGAGAGTTAAAATTAAATAAAAAAACTTTATTTATTTTGAGAAGTGAAGTGAAGCCGGGAAAGCTAAAGAAATATATATTACGCATACTTAATAAATATTAAATTCTAGACTTTTTAGCAACCATTTACGCATATAAATTTTATTTCAGAGTTAATAATGTCGGCTGGCGGCAAAGTAAGTGTTCCGAAAGGCCGACGTTTTAGGGAGGCGCCTGCTACCAAAATTAATTTAGAAGTAAAATGTTCCGGCTTCAGCATTTATTGGTTTCCGTCTCTTAATTGACGTCCGTAGCAAGAGTTTTTTTTTTTTTTGGAGGCAAAATGTTTTGGAGGCCAACGTCAATAGAGGGGCAGAAGCAATTGGTGGCTGCCTTCAGAGAATATTCAAAAAGTCAAAAGATCTGGAGGCCACCTCCAGACCCCTCCAAAAACATTTTTACGTCTGTTTATAAGTTAACGAGCAAATGTTAAAAACTTGACATCAAAGTTTCGTTTTATATGATTTAATGCAAAAGTTTTGTCTATTGAAAAAATTTCTGATTTTTTTTTTTTAATTATTGAATAAATTTAATATTGAAAACAAAAGTTAAAAAT